ACAGTTCGAAGCAATGTAATCAATGTAAATAATTACAATACCTCATCTCAGAAATAGAAGTAGAAATTTACAGACAGTGTAACCTTTTTTTATTTGTTTTTTTTTTTTAATGTTTCGTCTAATACTGGTTCGTTATTTATCAATAAAAGTGCAACTATTTTAATGAAATCGTCAAGAAAAGACATATATTAAAAAGCAAAACTAATCGATCATTGACCCGACTGAACTTAACCGTTTGCTTCCCCGCAACCACACACACACACACAAACACACACACACACACAAACACACACACACACACACACACACACACACACACACACAGGCTCACCGGTGTCAACGTACTGAAATCAGGACAACAAAGATTTTTAGGCTAGTCTCCTTAAAGCAAATACGTTTTAGGGGGTTGGACGGGGGCTGTATCTAAAATTGTACAGAAATATTTCATCCGCTCCCAAATATTTTCTAATTAGGGAAATATCTAATCTATCTATCTATCTATCTATATATATATATATATATATATATATATATATATATATATATATATATTTTTACAAGGTGAAGGAGTCGTTTAAGTAATTATACTTTTATTTTTTTTATTTATAGACAATATTTATTTACTAATTGTTTATTATAACTGCATATAAATGAATCTGATTTCACAAACAGAAACACACATACAGAAACACACACACACACACACACATTTATGTATATATTGTGTTTCTTTCTCCGTCTGTCTCTCTCTAAATATATAAATATGTATTTATATATATATATATAATATTAGTGGTCAATACCCCCCCCATATATATATATATATATATATATATATATATATATATATATATATATATATATATAAATTCCCAAGAGGATAGAATCCAGGCAGAACTCAATGTCCAGGACAGAAAATCAGAATATAATATAAAAGGCTCAAACACTAATATTCCATGGTTATAATTTATTACATTGGAATCGTAATCACGATCCAATTCATCAAACCTACAAATTCAAGAGACAAGAAAAGACATATTAAAAAGCAAAACAAATTGAGCATTAACCCAACTGAGCTTAACAATTTGCTACCCACCACCCACACACAAAAATAGCCTCGTTTTGGATTTGTTGGTCTGCTGAATTGGATCGTGATTACGATTCTAATGTAATAAATTATAACCATGGAATTTTAGTATTTGAACCTTTTTATATTATATATATATGTATAATTTAATCTTTTAAAAAATATGATTCCATCGCGACACAGAAATTTGTTTCAAAATTGAAACTAAATTTATAAATTTAATTATAAAAATTACACTTAAGATCTATAATTTCGCTCCATTGTCATCGGATGTTAGGAATAACTTTCTAAGAAATTTACTTAATTTATAAGCGCAGACAATATTAATATTATGAGTTGTTAAGGTTAAGGAAAATTCATTCTATTTTGGTTAGGGTTGGTTTGGTTTTAATTTCGCTAGACAGCTTATGTATCCAATATATGATACTTACAAAGTGAGGTTCAGTTTAGGCGAGGTTGGGGTACCTGCTAACAAACATAAACATCCTTTATTCAGCGAGTCGTTTCAATGACAATAAACATGGCATGTTTATTTATCTGCTTAATTTTTTTTCTAAAATTAATTATTACTTAAGGAAAATATTTGGCAGTGCCTTCAAAAAATAGCTATTTCATAGAAAACCCAGACGACTCTATTTTGCTCTACTGTTTGTGTCGTGCACCTGTATGTAAAATACAAATAACATTTTTAAACTTATCATCCTGAGTCAAAGTTTCGCAGAAAAGGTATCCATTTGTCAGGTATTGTAAAAATTTACTATTTAACTCCTGACGATTTGATAGTATTTCTGCAAAACTCTGAGTCGGGAAGATAGGTTTGAAATCTTATTTAATTTTTTTTTATATTAATATTCTATTTCTTAAAGTTGACCATGTCATTCTCAAAGACTACTTAACTTAAAAAAATCCCTATAGAAATAGACTGGGCGATTTCTTTCACTTGACAAAACACAATGCATGCTTTATTATTATTATTATTATTATTATTATTATTATTATTATTATTATTTATTTTCGTTGATTTCTGGCGTTTACACATTTCTTTCCGGGTCCCGCCCAGGGACCTAAAGTTAGAAATGGCATCATGACACTTTCCACTGACACACACACAAAAAAAATAATAATACATAGATAAAGCCCTTCGTAAAGTGTGGGCTGTACTTGTCAGAACAATTTTTTGTATCTCCTTTAGGCATGGACTTCCAGGAATCCCTTCAATTAGTCTACTGCAATCTTTTCCAACCAATCCTAGGGCTCCAACGACAACAGGGATTGTTGATGTTACCATATGCCACATTTTCGTATTATTATTATTTAATAAATATACCTGTTTCTAGGATGCATCTGATACAAAAGAGAAGATGATGAAACAAATGGGAAAATTTATGAACGACGCGTTTCGACGAAAAACTAAGCTGTCTTTGTCTTCATCAGTTTAGAGTGGAAAAAAGGGTAGTGGTCATAAATCAAATTACCTTATCATCTCTAATGTTCAAAATCAACTAAGTGTCTGTCCAACTGCTTGTTTGCTTGATATTTAGGCAGCAAATTCTCTTTTATACATGTCTGATTCAATAAATTACAGACATTATGTCTGCTAATATTTTTAACCAAATCCGTACATACTCACGAATAACCTTCCGTGTATTGATGTTGAAGAATGCAAGGAATGTGCTACAGCTGTTTAAATTTCTTTTATTTTCATTTCAAAAGTACTTTCGATCTTTTTCCAAGATCATCTTCAGGGGTTCAAGTGGTACAACACTATATGTTGTTCATTAGTACAAGTATTTATATAAAGATATACGTTGTTATCTATTATCTATTACCGTAATTTTCTCATAATGCTTTTAAAGGTAAAATGGTTCACAATGTGCTGAGTGTTCATTATATATATCTATATATATATATATATATATATATATATATATATATATATATAGTTGGATAGATATGAGATTCTGACCGTCGCTATGCGATCCTCAGACAAACGCATAAGTGTGAAACCGATAATCTCATATCCATTCGACTAAATATGCTAGCTCTATCACTGATATTGAGCACTTTCCAATAAGCACCTCACATATATAAAATACATATATATATATATATATATATATATATATATATATAAATATATTGGAAAGTTCCTGAAAACCATTCCACTGTTTGACCCAAGCTTTGTGAGTGAAATTGGCTAGACAGAACACCTGGAGGCCGTTCATACCACGAAGTCACAATTTATCTTAACCGGGGGTTTGAGTGTGCTGGCGTTGTTCAACTTGTTGAACATGTTAGAAAGCACGTTCTCTCCCAGAAAATGTAACTAAGGTCTGCTCAGGTTGGCTCTGTGGGTGTTGAACAGACACAATGTCCCTGAGCGATCGTCTGCAATAGCGTTTGGCTAGTCACCTTAGTAGACAAATATCCCCGTATACGAGTGGCCAGCTATATATATATATATATATATATATATATATATATATATATATATATATTCAAGCATGTATGATTGACTGATTTTGAATATCCCAATTTTCAGACATTGTTGTTTGTTATACACATAATTCATCTAATTTAGTCTTGGTTATATATTTCTTATATAGACCACTTCAAGAATTGGTAGCTTTTTTTTAATTCACATAGTGGAGTATATTTGTATTGTCAATTAATATTTCTCTAAAACGTGAATGTGGACTGCAATGTTCCTTTAAATGCTGTGCAATACAACTTGAATACGACATATGTAATGTGAGCCTCCTTGATAATGTTGTCAGAGATACAATCTTTCAAAGGACGTTTAGACTGATATACAATGTTGGTTGATTGGTTGGTTGTTTTGTTTTATGGCTCCAAATGTAAACAAAAAAAAATGTCTTAAATAATTGTCGGACTTTGTCCATTTCATAATGTATGACGTCATTTGTTTACATTTGGATACGCATTGAGCAGATATGAATGAATAAGAGAAAATCATGGAGAATATGTGTTTAAAAACAGTAAAATCGACCTTGCTAACCGAACGCTCCTCTGTGTCCCAATCGGTTAAGACACATCAGGCTATATGACGGTTCCATATAGGATACAGGTTCGATTCCTGCCGGAGGACGCATATTTTCTATGAAAAATTCTCGGGCATTCAGGCCGGTAAATGTTGTTAATACTGTTTATTGTAAACAGAGAATTTACTTAAATATTTGTATCTATAAAAAGAATGTATAAACATAAAAAAATGTCTTAAATAAGTGTCGGACTTTGTCCATTTCATAATGTGTGTGTGTGTGTATATATATATATATGGGGGGAGTGAGTGAGTGAGTGAGAGAGAGCGAGACTGGGAGAGAGAGAGAATGTATGTGGGTTTCGACTATAATTCAAATCGGCCTGGAGGTTTTGGCGAATGTTACACCGACTTAAGGAAAATTTAGTATTTATCTATAAATATGGCGATATTAGTAATTAAAAGAAGCCAGAAATTTTCGGTCGAATGAATGCAACGTCTCATCCTATCGTTGAAAAAACAGTCAGCATATGGAAGTCATTTCAATTGTAATATACGCCAAAATAAAATGTGGTTTGAAAAGATTGTTCGCATAGTGGGATAGTAATTAGCGAGCAAGCACCGGTTCATAAGAGTGAATCACTCAACAAAGCGTTGATTCGCTCCTATTTTCATATCTTTTTTTATTACCTTTCAAAATCTCATTTACGATAAATTCTGAATTGGTTTTGAAGTCGAAATAGCTTAATGAAAATTTTTATTAAATCAAGGAAATTAATTTTGAAATATGTTATTGCAATTCGTTTTCTCCATCGTTCCACACTTTTCCTCTTGCATAAAATCAATTTTTATCTAAATAACTTTCTAATTCAATCTGTATTACTCTTCGATTCACCTTTCTCTGAAACAGCCATGTCTAAAACTGTTCTTCATCTATCTATCTATCTATCTATCTATCTATCTATCTATCTATCTATCTATCTAATTCTGTTCATATCTATCTATCTATCTATCTATCTTTCTGATGTCTTTCAAATCTATCTATCTGATTCTGTTCATATCTATCTATCTATCTATCTATCTATCTATCTGATGTCTTTCAAATCTATCTATCTATCTATCTATCTATCTAATTCTGTTCATATCTATCTATCTATCTGTCTGATGTCTTTCAAATCTATCTATCTATCTATCTATCTATCTATCTATCTATCTATCTATCTGATGTCTTTCAAATCTATCTATCTATCTATCTATCTATCTATCATGTTCATTGCTATCTACCTTATTCTACTCATATCTATCTGTCTATCCGTTTGTTGATATCTATCTATCTATCTATCTATCTATCTATTTTATTCTGCTCATACCTATATATCTATCTATATTCAATGTTAGGGGAGGGGAAGATATGAATATGAGCACTTAAATAGCCGAATACCCAGGTAGCTAGTTACCTGGATAGAATGTTAGTTAAAAGGGCCGACATAGATGTCCTTCGTTCCATTGGTTAGGCTATTCGGAACACAGACATGTTTGTGCCCGGGTAGCTTTAGATTGTAGGACTAGAATGGCTGGATACTGGAAGTTCATTCTGTCTTTGCAGGGCAGGCGGGGCTTCCAGGAACAGCTAACTACCGTTGTGAATCTGGAACTTGTAGGTGTAGTTATTGGGAATAGGTACTGGGAGAAGCTTAAGGATAGGATGAGGTCCTTCACCACCGAGTTTAGCAAACGGCCCGCGCTAGATAAGGCGCTTAAGGATGGTCTTTCCCGGGCAGAAGCTTGGGAATCTTCTAGAAATAGCCTTAGCTAGTGATGCTCTGGGGCGTTTGGCTAGCAGGCGCTACATGGGTCAGGTAATTAGACATAAGTTAAGCAAGATGTCTTCCGAAGTTGTCAACATGGGCGCAGAACTGCACAAGGAAAACACCAGCCAAGGTCGCTACCTTCGAGAGGTCAAACTCACGGAGGGGCGTACTTTAACTCTGAAACGTTTCGGAGGCATTTCAAGAGCCGGTTTAGCAAGGAGGACGAGTTTCACAGCTGTTTGCCTGACTTTCCTCGGTTTTCGTCGACTGAAGCAGCTAGCTGCGATGGGGAGGAGGAGATCACGCTCTACACGGTACTGAAGAAGGTCGCCAGAGGCAAGTCGCCGCGTCTGGATTATTTGCCTTATGAATTGTACTTGAGGATGTCGCACATCTTAGTCCCGATTTTGATTGTTGTATTTAAGAACTGATTCCGCCAGAGTTCCTCCCCGAGCGGATCTCCAGGGATGTGATGACGCTGTTGAAAAAGTGCAAGCGTGTTGGATGTGATTTAGATGATTACAAGCTCATAATTCTGCTAAACACATTCTGACGGAGCGTTTGCAGTCAGTTGTCGAGATTCTGTTGAGACCCGAGCAGACTTGCGCTGTGAAGGGCCGTAATTTAAGAGCGACCTGCATCTGATCCGCACGATGCTAGAGAGTGTAAATTCAACGATGAAGCCGCACTGATCAATTTGGATCAGTTCAAGGCATTTGATAGGGTCGATCATCGCTATCTAGCTGCTGTCTTGCAAGCTGCAAGCTGATTCAATTCCGATATCTGTCGGTGGATTAGCCTCATGTATCACTCCCCAAGTGGTGTGGTACTAGTGAACTGAAGGCGATCGGATGCTTTTGCACTGTCTCGGTCGGTTCATCAGGTTTGTCCACTGTCGCCCCTACTTTACGGTTTGGCGTTGAAGCCTCTTCTTCTAAGGGACATGACGTGCTGTCGGCCCTACGTGTAATCGCTGTCCCTGGTGGGGTTCGAGCCAAGGTTTCAGGTACGCCGATGACGTATCTACTTTCCGCAGAGACATTGAGGTGGTATTGAAGACGCTTGAACGGTACGGGAAGGTCATGGAGGCCAAGATTAACCGAGATAAATCTTCCGGCTTGCGATTTGGTGCCTTGAAAGGGGGGTCGATCTTACGGGGCCCTTTGTTTGGACGTGCGGTCTTGTCCACATTCTCGGAGTGTAGTTTGCGCCCGACATCCAGCTCGACAAAAAATGGTCAGAAGTACGGGCAATGGTCGGCGCGGCGGTCGAGACTTGACGCCGAAGGAGGTTGTTTTTGGAAGGAAGAGTTAAGGTGTGTGCCGCTTACGTCTTTCCTCTTTTTCTTTAATGCTTGTCTGTACTTCCTCTCGGTAAGAAGCGTAAGATGACGATCAAACGTTTGCTATCCTTCGTCTTTTTTTGTTTTATAAGGAGGAAGCAAGTATCACGTCGACAGAAAGGTCTGTGCCCAATGTCCGTATTCATGCGGGGCTGGCAATAACGAAATTGAAGAGTTACAATCTCGCCTCAAGGCTGTCTTTCTTACACCACGCATTGACATTGGAGTCGATTTGGCGGGGTTTTTGCGGACCGCTTTCCATTTCTTTACTATCATGCCTCCTATCTCCTTGTGGGTTGAGCTCCTTCGTAAGCCCCGGAAACAATCAAGTTTGCTCCTTGAATTATTCCAATTCTTATTCTTATACTAATTTGTCATATATAACAGATTTATTTTGGGAAATCTTACTAATATCTATCTATCTATCTATATTACTTTGCTTCTATCTATCTATCTCAGTTTCCTGATATACGTATAAATATGTAGCGATATATATATATATATATATATATATATATTCTTATTGTGAATGTCTACCGGTCTAGATTATAGAAAGTCTTATTCATCCTTTCACTGCGTAATTAATTTTCTTGCTCGTTTCCGCAATGATGTTAATTATCCACGGAAATTAAAAAAAAATAAATAAATAAATAAAACAGCGAGAATTTACCCATGGCACCCTGCATAAATGGCATCCGATAAATCTGCGCCCCAAGAGTTATGCTCCAGCTGCAGAGTGCGGCGTAGAAGCTCCAGTTATTTACCGCACAATATCTATCTATCTATCTATCTATCTATCTATCTATCTATCTCAGTCCTTTTAAATCTATTTCAGTCTAAAAACTAAGTTCAAAACTAAGCTCTCTATCTATCTAACTATCTATCTATCACATTTTGTTATACGTATAAATATATATATATATATATATATATATATATATATATATATATATCCCCTCTCTCTCTATATATATATATATATATATATATATATATATATATATATATATATATATATATATCCCTCTCTCTCTCTCTCTATATATATATATATATATATATATATATATATATATATATACCTTCCAGTCTTGTATACAATGAACAACAAAAACAGATTATCATTATTGTTTTGTCCGTGTATTGTTTAATATATTGAAATGCAATGGTCATCTTATGTAAGCCCGGTTTAGATTGATAAAAAACAACATATATCAATATGGTGATTTTCTTTCATCTTTCAATGGTAATGTTATTAACCTTATCAGGCAATATAGAATGTCTATATTATTTAATGAAACATGCACCAATACATACATACATACATACATACATATATATATATATATATATATATATATATATATATATATATATATATATATATATTATTCTTTTATCAAAAGAGAAGATGATGAGACAAATTGGAAAATTTATTAACGTTGCGTTTCGACGAAAAACTCAGCTGTCATCAGGTTAGAGTGGGAAAAGGTTTGTGGCCATAAATCAAATCAAGTTACCTTATCACCTCTAATGTCCAAAATAAACTGAGTGTCTATCTATCTGCTTGTTTGCTTGATATTTAGGCAACAAATTCTCTTTTAGACATGTCTGATAGAATAAATTACAAACATTATGTCTGCTTATTTACTTAGCATAATGTATCCATATTCAAGGATATTTTTTTCGTGTATTACAATCAAATAATCCAAGAAATGCACCATAAAAGTGAAAATCTCTTTTATTTCCCAAGTACTTTCCATCTCTTTCTGAGATCATCATCAGGGGTACAACTGTAAGACAAAAACTATTTGTAGTCATCCATTACTGATTTTTTTTCCTTTTGCGTTTAAATGCAACAGCTGACAGTTATGCTTTAGCGTTCATTAGAACGTGAAAAGTTACCCATTATGGCATTTTTTTTATGTTGGAATGCCATGGTCAAACGCGCATTAAATCGTGAAAACTGTTCTTGTTTATAGGCATTTTAGAATATTATTACAGTATTCGTAGCTGATTCTATTCAGTGTCGGATTCAATTTTTTTTTAATGCAGATTGCTTCGAGGCGAGGATCTGTAGTTTTAATTTGTTATTGTTACACCAAGAAAATAACAAATTAAAACTACAGATCCTCATAAATCATACTGAGATGTTTTTCAAACCATCGGGTAGATCCGCTTTACGGAATTAACGATACAACATTTTGAGCGAATATATCCGCATTCTGCAGTAAATTTTTAAAGACAATGTTTCTCTTGACAGGGGATCGATGTTGAATTCTCTTGACCCTGGGAAAGATACTCATTACCAGGTGTACTTAAGTCTTACAGCCTCGAGGGCCTCTACTGCGAAGCAACTCCCAATTACTCTTTTAAATGACGCACATTTCTTGTTTCTGTTTTTCAAAATCTCTATCTGCTAACATTGTTTTCTTTCCGGAAATTAAGGGATTTTTCGACGACACACATATACACATATATACAGGGTGCGATAGACAAACTGTCGTCTAAATGACGCAAAAATGAAAATAATACTGACATTTCATTTTAACAGATATATTTACCAAAATTACGAAAAAATATCTTGAAATGCTAAAAATTACATTTATTCAATAAAATCGCTATTGGCTTCAACCAGGGCCGTTAGACGACTTCGGAATCTCCTGCAACTCTTCTGGACGGTCTCCTTGTTTAAGTTGGCGAATCCTGACATAATCCTTCTGTTCAGTTCATCTTTGGTGTTACAGTCTAAGGAATGTAAAGGGGCCAGATGTAAAGGGTTGATGTGATCACAGAAATTGTTTGATAGCCATGACTGGGTTCTCCTGCTTGTCTGATATGGTGCAGAGTCCTGTATAATTTTTAAATAAGCATTTTTGAAAAAGGCACATTTAAAAATTGTATAATTTAGCGTTTTTCACTTTGCAAGTAAAACAATTTTCCGATGAACACAGGAACTTTGTTTTTGTGCTAATGTCGAAAATACTTGGAATAAAATAAATATACATCAATATGGTAATTTTCTTTCTTCCTTTAATAAGGGTACTAAGAAACTTGTCTAAATTATCTAATGAGACATGCCTTAAATAAAACATTTTGCCAAAAATATACGCAATATATAATTGTCTTTCGCAAACAGTACTGTTTCGCTGTATCACAGCTCCTCAGTGCGACTAGACAACCGAATGCCTCAATATATATATATATATATATATATATATATATATATATATATGTAGAAATATAGTCTTAAGGTGTGCTATATTTATGGGATAAAGTGCTCAATATCAGAGATAGAGCGTGTGTAAATATAAAAGTGAAAATAGAAGTCAACACTTAGAGGCGATAGTCTGTTTCATGCTAGATGGTATTTATCAATCCACCCACGGGGATCGAATGTGGCACAAGGCCTTTTTAATGTGGGTATCTCTGAGCCAAAAATAAATAACCATCCAAACCCGCCGAGGCGGGCCAGTTCCGTCAACCTCCCCCAACGAAACCCTACCCTTCGGCGGAGCTTCGTCCGGGTTCCTCTCTACAAGCAGAGAGTTCGACAGACACCCGACCCGGCAGCTCACAAAGCGCAGATACTACACTTTGATCCTAGCCACCGGGCCGAGCGGGTATTAGATGCAATCGTCAGGCACTCGTGGCCTGACGATTGCATGTAGCATGAAACAGCCTGTCGCCTCTAACTGTTGACTTCTATGTTCACACACACACACACACACACACACATATATATATATATATATATATATATATATGTGTGTGTGTGTAATGGCTTCGAATGAAGACGGTATCTTTCAACTTGGACCATTCCTCTTCGAACTTTGTAAACTGATGCTGAAGAATCACAAACAAAAAAAGTGTACCAAATAAAGAAATCACATCCCTTTAGGAAATTCAAAACAACGTCTAAAATTGATAGCATATGTAACTCAAAGAGAAAACAATGACATAATGAAGATATTGGCCTTCCACACTACTTCCAACAAAAGGTTAGGAAAGAAATATTCCATTAATAGTGGAAACATCGATAATAGTTGAATTGTAAAAGGGTAATTTTTTAAAATAAATTTCCAGCGACAATCGTCTATTCGGTTAATGAATTGCAAACGTTACCGTATAGGGCGACGGCTCGTATTTCGATGGCGGTTACCATGGAGAGAGGACCTGTAAAAAAGAGGTTTTAATGAAAATAGGAATTTCAAGAACTCTGCTGCTAACAATCAGAAAGAGGCAGATGCAATATAATGCAGGAGGTGATAATGTGGGGAAAAAGGCTTAGAGAATCTAATACTCTCAGGATATTAAAGATAACAGATGCAAGGATGTTAGTGAGTTATCTACATGATGGGTTTAAATGAATGAATTGCCGAACACGGATAAAAAGAAGTCAATTGGATAAAAGTTACGTTGAATCACAACAGATAGGACGTCGTGGAGAGTACTGATCACCCGTGGCCTGTCGTCTAAAAGAAGAACGGCCAGTCAAAATCTCTAACAACCACTCTTTAAATTATATGGTGTTATATGTTCATTGTATAAATGTGTGCGTATCGTCGGTATCTTCCTGGCGGTAGGTAGTTCAAATTCCAGCCGGGGTAGTTTTCGATTTTGCACAAAACAATCTCTGAAAGAACAGGGCGATATACCGCTGCACACAGATAGCGAAACCAATTTAACCCCCGATCGATTTAAATGAAGGATTCATTTCGATATTCCCAGAAGGTTTGACAGAATCCTGAAGAAGATCGTAAGGCATAACGACCGAAAGCTCATGACAATAACAACAAAGATGATGATATTAATCTGAATTTAAATACTGTTGGCTCTTCATTCCTGGATTTCAGACGGAATCGCTTTCGAAGATAAGAACCCATTACATTCCCTACTTTATGCAGAATATACTGAGCTCTCCAGCCTTGGCTGGAAACTAGTCTAGGAGAACGAATGCTTTGAATCTAAAACCGTTCGACTACTGGGCTACCAACTAATAAAACATGAAAACCTACTTCAAAAATCACATCAGTTGTGATATATATTTTAGATGAAGGGGTCTCCAGTCTTTGTATCCATAGGAACAGACGTGTTACTCGGCTTCAGCAAGACAAATACTGCAGGTCATATCTCATGCATTGAACGTCGTATCTCGTATATTGAAAATCGTATTTCATACATTGAAGTCGTATCGCATCCATTAAAGGTCGTATCTCATAAATCGAAAGTCGTAAGACATACACTTTCATTGCCTTATGATTTAATCTCGGGAAATATCAGCCTATAGCTGGTGATACAAACAGGGGGTTTGATCAAAAAGTATAGAGATCCGTTCTATAAAAAGAAAACCACAACATATATCAATTCGGCATTTAATCTCCTACGGAGTAGTCCGCTTCTGAAGCGACAAATTTTACCCAGCGTTGTTTTCCTTGATGGAAACATTCCGAGAACTCCTTTTTTAGGATAGCGAGTAGCTGTCTCGTCGCATTTTCTTGGATATCCCCGACGTCTTGAAATATTCTTCTTTTCAAGTATTGTTTAATTATTGGAAAAAGTCGTGACGGACGGGATGTGGGGAATATGATGATTGCCGAAGCTGGAGATTACTCTGCCCAGCCAAAAACTACATCATAAGCCATGGTCACTGATGGAAATTCTATGATGTATTAAGACGACCACAATCTACACACTTACCTTCTAAGCAGCTTCTATAAATAAATGAAGCGATTGAGAACGTTATAACTTAGCGTGCACGCGTGACTGAGTTTAAGGTCTATCTGTGCTAAGCGGCTTCACTCTGTGTACTTTAGCCGCGTTA